TATTATTTTAATAAGTGGAAACAAACTTTAGAACATATTATATGAATTTTAATTGATCAATGAATAGCCTCTTGCTACCCCAACTCTAAAACTTTAAATTGCAACCCCTTGCTTCTGATAGCTCTTTTTAAAGTTCTGCAAAAATGCGCCTGTAATTGTGCTGAGCAGTGAGACAGGAGGTGTTTCCAGCACCAATCTAAAAGGCTTAATATTTGCCTATGGCACCGATCTTGTATAACTAATTGCTTGAACCGCATTGTTCTTCTATTTTTAATTGCGATTTGCCCAATGAATTCACTTCACGCCTAATTTTGTCTTGTATTTTTGGCATATGACCAAACGTAAATATTTAATTATCACTTGTTAAGAAGTGCCAGTTGTGAAACCAGTCTAAAAGTTTACTAATCCTGGTAAGTTTGAGAATTTTATATTTTTAAATGAGAGGAATACAGTTTGATAATCTATTGAAAGCAGATGTCGCAAAAAGGAGTGCTACCGGAAGACCTGGTAAAGGAAGCGAGCAGACGAAAAGATGGTGATCAGCTTTTTAAGCCTGATGAAAATTTCAAGGCGCTAATGGGAGATGATGAAGACACTGTCGCTTTCGTTTTCCAGCATGTTAGTTCGGATGATTGCACTCTCACTTCAGTAGCCAGAACCACTAGAGGCATTCTCAGCTTTGGGGCAGTAGTCAAAGGAGAAATTGACCATCATGTTGCTAGGGAGAACTTGGAAAAAAGTCCCGTTGCAGAAAGAAAACCTGTAATTTCTTGCTACGGTTCCATAGAGTTAGTTTTAAATATTTTCAATAAAGTTTAGGCATTGGAAACCGTCGCTTGTCGTTGAGAAAATGAACGTAGTCTGCAGTGAAGGCGATCAAGCGATGCTCCAAGTTCAAATCACTGGATATCCAAAACCGGATATGAGTTGCACTTTTCGAGACATACCCATTAAACCCAGCTCAAAGTACAAGTAAGGAGGCAAATAAATCGAAGGCAAGAAGCTTCCATAATGAGGTTTCAGGATTTATCACGAAAATCATGAACACATCCTGCTGCTGGTAATCAAAGACGTTCACTTCGAGGACGCTGGAGTTTACACGATAATGGCAGAAAATGAAATTGGGTTTGATTCCGTCGATATTACTCTGGATGTAGTCAGTAAGTTAAAGTTTTCCGGCAAAACGTACCTAAATTTAAAAACGGAGTACTATTTAGGACAAAAGTATCCAACGATAAAATCCAAAATCGAAGATCTATCGATTGGTGTTGACGAAATCATTGTGGTGCCTGCCGAAGTGGATGGACTTCCCAAACCTCAAGTGCAGTTCCTCAAAGAAGGCAAGGAAATCATTCAAAGCGAGCACATATATGTGGAGGAAAACGATCCTACATATACTCTAGTATTGAGAAACACCAATCTGAAAGACACCGGTAGAAACATTCCCATTATTTCCAAAACTTGTTTATTGCTGCTATTTTTTTATCAGGAGTTTACTCAGTAGTTGCCACAAATTCTTTGGCTCAAGTGTCCCAGTTCTGGGGCATTTACGTCTACAGCAAGCCAAAACTCTTAAGAAAATTATGCGGTGATTTGGAAGTTTCGCAAGATGAAACCGTCACTATTAAGGCAAAAATCCAAGCTGAGCCCAGAGCTACTATCAAGTGGTTCAGAAATAATGTGCAACTAGTTGGATCGAGGCGTTTGCATATTGATGATGATGATGGATTTTACTTGTTGCAGATCAGAAACATTGTCATACAAGATGCAGGTAAGCAACTTGCTTTTAATTATATTTTATATTTCAGTATTATTTGCACTTAATTAATTGATTAAATTGATAAAATATGTATTGCTTATTGCTTGTTTAAGCAATAGGAGGAATTTTCTCGCTTTTATTCTATTGTTTTTTCCATTTTTATGCCTAATAAAATGCCTCAGAAATTTTTACAAATTGTTGATGTGATCGTTATTACATTCCTTCATTATACGTATTATGTACTTTTAAGTTTTATTTTTTTTGGGCAATGAAGAGATGTTTCTAAATTTTTTTCCTGGTTTAAAATACCTTGAACTTTGAATTTTTTATCAATTTGTTAATCAATTTTGCTCGAGTTTGTTGTCAAATTTATCTGTTTAATAATGATTAAACAGATAAATTGCCTCGTTGTGTGGAAAGACGGAAGTTTTCGTTCATCTGGATTCTTTGGTGGAGGAAATCGGGAAATGACGTCCCAATTCAATTTATCTCGGTTTAAAAAAATGCACCTTTAAGATTTGAATACTCAATTGTGAATGTTAATACTTCTTGTTGGAGACGTGGATAAATAGTAACAAAAATGAGAAACAAAACAAAACTTAAAAATCGTATACCGCAGCATTTGATTATCAAACATTATTTTAAGTATGGGTAACACTGTGTTGAGTTGCGCTTTTCAGTTGTTGCCGCTCTCTGAGTTGATGAGTTATAACTCATTTATTAAAGTGGATTAATGCATTACAAGATCCGAGACTGGAATTTTAACATCTAAAAGAATTCACTGAAATGCCCAATCCCATAATATTTTGTCTTTATTGTCTTATTTTAATGCATACTAATTCCCGCGCACCAGTAAAATCTGGACATAATAAAGGATTAAAATAAATATAAGGATGTTTCAACAAATGCTTTGAAACCCATGTTTTCTGTACTTCCGTTGTGCATCACAAGTTTAAACTCGAAAAGTGCAAAATTACTCTCGTTGTGTAATTTTTCATGTTTTCAAATGAAATAAATTCTTTTTTTATAGAAATAATTAAGTTCTAGTTTGTTTACTCTGAAATCCAAATTGGTCGATTCATGTATTTCCTATTTAGGTGATCATTATATTATTTCGACCATAAGTATATTAATCATGAATAATTCTTAATATCAATAGGCATATACACATTTCGAGCGGAAAATGCCCACGGTTTTGTAGAGGATACAGTTAGAATCGATGTTAAAAAAGCTCCGACTATTTTGGAGGCTTTTGACGACGCTCTTGTGTTAGAACAGGACGTGTACCATATTATTCACACTGTAGAATTTGCTGTAAAACTAGAAGCTTTCCCTCTACCCGAAGTAAAATGGTAAGTTCTGATGCATATTGCTGGATAGTTTCCGATTATAAAACCCAGATATCTTCAAACATTTTCAATAAAAAGCGAAATTTTTGTTGCACATTTTATACGTTCTCATACTAATAAAAACGAAGAGAATTGAGCAATTAAGAGAACTTGAGATCGAGAAACATTTAGTTCAGTAGCAGTAGAATCAATAGCAGATATTGAGGATTCCTTGAGAACCAAAAGTCGTGGTGTAAAGAATTCAATTCAATTCATGATAAGATCATTTTAATAGACCTTATGTAGGTTTCTAGATGGAGAACAATTATTAGACAATACACCTGAGTTCACAAGATTCCAAACAGATGATACAATAAAATTAATTGTAAATGAACCTACAACAGATTTATCCGGCGAATATCTATGCAGAATTTCAAATGAGTGTGGCCAAGCTGAAACCAGTGCCAGATTAACTGTTAGTTGTGAGTTTTCCGGCATTAATTAATGTAAAACAGTAACATAATATAGAAAAACTTGTTCCTTAGGCTCTCCTAGAATAATTGTGCAACTCAACGATCAGAAAATCGACGAAACTTTAACTCTTAATCTGGAAGTTGTGGTTCGAGGATATCCTTCTCCACAGTTTAAGTGGTTCCGAAACAGTCAGGAATTAGACCCCAATGAGCGCATCCAAATGGGCTTGGAAACCTACGGAAAAATGAAATATAAGATATTTTGTTCTGTGTCTGATGTTACTTTTGCTGAAAGAGGAGACTACGAAGTCGAGGTTTTCAACGCATTTGGATCAGCTAAAAGCCGGTGCTTCATAAATGTTTTAAGTGAGTGTAATTTTTACAAAAAAGTCTTGCTATTGTTAAATAAATTTGTTTCAGCCAAACCAGTAATTCTCGAAGCGCAGATGACCGATTTGGTAATAAAAGAAGGCGACGACGTAACATTCACCATAACAGCCTTTTCCAATCCTCTACCCGAAGCCACGTGGTTATGGGAAGGAACTGCAATTAATATGAACGAGAAAAAAGATAGAAACAAGCTGATTACCTCTAACAATAGCACCGAATTTAGATTGGGCATTCGAAGAGCTCGAATGGTAGATGCTGGAGTTTATCAATGCGTATTGGAGAATTGCGTTGGATTGACTAGATATCGAGCAGCTCTGGCCATTTTGCGTAGAAAGAATGATGATATATAAATAGCGAATGCATGTTTTTTTAAGTTATTTTAGTAGCAAATAAGTTAGCAACAAAGTATAATATTTAAGATTAAATAAAATATATTTATTAATACAGAAAGCGATGCTTAAAACATTGAAATTTGATAATTCATAATTCAGTAAATCCCTGTTTAAACTCGATTTATAACTACTTATAATTGATAGTAAAACATGTGTAGTTTTTTCAAAGTTAACTAAATCGGCACATCAACTATGGCTTCGTAAAAACGTATCGATTTGTACAATATTGTGAGCGCAGTTTTGATGATATCGAGCTAAAACTTTGCACACACCTAACATACGTAAGGTCAGGCCTTAGCAACTTATTCGGAGCTTTAATTTTATTTTGCTTCTAACTAAATCTCCAAAATTTCATGTTTTTTCCGCCCCATTCAAATTTAAGAATAAAAAACGACTGCTAAGATCACATAACGACATCTTCGGTTAAACATTTTCTTCGCCATACTTTGACTCGTTTTCAGATGCCTGAACTTTCAAAATGTATTTCTTCAGAAGCAAAGAAAATATTGAATGAGTTGTCGTGGTGACCTTTTAGAAATCTCAACACGAGAATTGTCTTTCATCAAGTAGGACTCATCAACAATTTTTAATTTCTAAAGGGTTAGAAGCAAAAATGTCAAATTTAAGGGGCGCTTGGGGCTTAAAACAGTATATGTATACCTCCAAAACTGTTCAAAATATTCTCAAATATTCTATGATCAGCGGTCACAATCTTTTCGATATTTCTAATCGAGAAGTGCCTAGCACTAATATTAAGTTTCAGCTTATAGTCTTAAAATTTAAAAAAGTTGACACAACCAGAAAAGGTAAAAACGTTAAAAGCCATCAAATATCCCATCAGTTATAGCTTTTTCAATAGCTTCCTGTCCTTCTTAGAAACTCAAGCAAACTGCTTCAACTCCAAAGGCGAACGCCGATATTTACTCAAGTATAAAGCCCTTTTTTGTATCTCGGGAACAATTAAAAATAAGTGAATACTCTTTAGGAGCTTGCCGATTAAGAAACAAACGATCTATATTCCAAAATGGCAAATCGTTAACTAAAACAAAAACGCTTCGGATAACGTTTACCTTTGCCAGATATCAAATAGCAAGGTTTTACTTTCCCAATCTCGAATTGGATAACCCGTTATATAGGTCTTCAGATAATGTTAAAATTTCCGAAAATTACTACACAGTCATGACAAAAAATCTCTACAGTTAAGTTTGAAAAATCTAAGTAAAATAGAATCGAGGGCATAATTTCTTACACCTTCTGAGTGTTTTCAATTTATTTTATGTAATATATAATACAGGGGTCCGAGGACCAACTCTAGAAATATGGAGTTTTTAGGCCCCTTAAATGCAACACGTTGTACGTTATCCGTTATTCTGAGCATACGCATTAGCAAAGAAATAACCGTTTACGTTATTAGAGGATAACGTGTTCCTTTATTTACGTACGAGTAGCGGTAACGGTGCATATGTGTGAATAAGCATTACGTTAAAAAGCAGAACGACGGTGTTGACATATTTGACTTATTTCTAATATTATAGAAAAGATAAGTGGCTATAATAGAACAAGAAATCTTTGTAATTTTAAATAAGACTTTTTTATTGATTAGTGTACGCCATTATTGCGTAATTGCGGATTTTGTGAAAATTGTTTGGGCAAATTTGAAAACTACTAACATCGCAAGCACAGGTTCTAACTTCTAACCCATAACCTAACTATTTGATTTTGAATTTTTATTTAATATGTTCGGAATATGTTTCTTCTGAAACCTAAAATTGATAAGGCAATCTCTGGTCTCAATTGTTTCTAAATTAAAAATATTTCCCTGGTCATTCCGGCGCAGAAGGCAGCTTCAATGTTTTCTTCCAGATTAGCCACTTTTTGTTTAATAACAATACAAACCTAAACCAGCTTTGAAACTTTTCTAAACCAAACAGGATAGGAAAACAATAGAGTGAGGTTTATTTTATTAAGAGTGCAACAAACGCGGTATCAAAAACTAAAAAACGCACTTAACGTTATTTGCCTGAACACCTTATTTTTTAACACTGCGCATGATTACAATAACGTTTAGCGTGTAAGGCCAACGTAATTTTAAGGGGCCTAAAAACTCTCTATTATTAGAGAATGTCGGCTGATTCAACGTTAAAAGATTCAATAATTTAAAATGGCGAGCTTTGTGACGTATTTCCGCGAGCTCTCTCATTGGTCCAAGTCAGCAGGCAACCAATATACTTTAGGAACCTTGCGCTCACTTGTTTAAATGCTTGACAGAAATTACGTCAAATTACATTCGTCTAAAATACTCGCGAAGAATCTCGCTCGCTCGGCGGGAGAAGTTGTCGGAAGGTTCCAGAAACTTCCGGATACAACGTAATCGAAAATAAAAAAAACTGAAATGTTGTGATGATAAGCCTGAAAGTAAAAGCCACATATTTCCTGCTGAAAAGAGTACACAGTTGATTTATTCTAAAAAAATTAAACAATATAATATTAAAAAGATATAAAAGTACGAATTAAATGTCTGTACTACTTCTAATGGTGGTCATTGTGGATATCTTCTTTATATGCGCCTCTCTCAACTTCTCAATGTTATTCTTTCGAAATATATCCGAGATGAACGAATGCGCGGCCTTTTGGTCCTTGCAATCGGATGAGGTTCTACCTAGCACCCAATCTCCTGTAATTGTTTCGCTTCCATCGCAAATTCGACATTCACCTTAACGAAAAAAATATTTTTCTTGGATAAGAGTGAATATTTTAGAGATTACCTAAAAATAATGCAACTCTGCGCCCTTTATATGCCGTTAGAGTGATAATGATTTGTGAGGACTGTGAAAATGGAATTCTGGCTGTAGCATTCCATTTGTCTTGGGCAATAAATCCATCTTCGCTTGGAGGTTCGGTGCTTCGCATGGCAATCTCAGTTTCCGAATCAGTTTTCTTAATGTGAAACGATATACCGCCAGCGTCACTGTCCCAGTAACCAGACACGTTGCACAATGCACCTACAATGTATATTGTTGTTTTTTTTTGTGTGTTTGTAGTGGACTTTCCATCAGTGCGAACCTTCTTTACTTGATCCTTTTCCTTTTTTGGAGGCGACTATTAGATTTTGAACATCTTCCAAAACCCGGTTCAGTTCGGTGGATTCACTGGTGGACTTTAGCTTGTCGTCTATCAGATTGTCGACTACAGTTTCTTCAGTTTGAGTGTTGATTCTGGGCGATTCAACAACTGCTGCTCTATTGGGTGTTTCTAAGCTGGCATCTTCAGAATCTTCAAGTTTGTGTCCTCTATTTCTGTCGCGTATTCCTATCAGACCTTGACCGCGTCCTAGAATAGCTCGCTGTGAATTTCCTCCTTGAAAGCCTCCATTTCCATTGTCGCTTAACAGACTATCCTCAGTGGATTCTTTTTGCCTGAAACGGCAAACTTTTGGTAAGATCCATCTCACAGGAAAATGTCTGCAGGTTGAATGAGTGACTTTTGAAAATAATAGTTAATGTGTAGGTTTCTCAAAACTTTCTCAACCTACTTTAGGGTCATATTATTCTCCAAAGCAATAGGTATGATGAGAGGCACGACTGTGAAATTTGCGCCTAAATGCGACTGAGTGAATAATTGTTCTTCGAGCGTAGCCAGAGGAACTACGTTGCCATCTTTTATTGCATACATATTGTTATGGTCTTGCCTTTTTCTTCTTTTCGGACTCCGCAACTCATCGATAAACGCCTGGAGATCCGAGCTGATGGGGTTGTTTTTTATATATTCTCTTGTTCTACGTGCCAGTTCATTTCGAGCTTCTTGCCAGAGCTGCTCGTCTTCTTCCGTTTTTTGATGCGAACCATGGTGGATGACCAAAAAGAAAAGCAAAATTGCCTCAAAATGAAACGACATAAATTGTCAGCTTTGGCGTTGATAAGTGTAGTGCGTAGGTAATTTTGAGCGATTAGAACTAGAAGGTGGACCAGACTTAGTTGAACTTCAGACCAAACCATTTAATATGAATATTGTTCCGGCATGATCTCGGAACGCTCAGAGCAGGATGTACAATTTTTCTATGAACAGCAAAAAGAAGCCCTAAAACATACCAAAAAGGAGAGTGGAGATCGCCTTATGTTTCTCCAGCTGATTGCTCCCAAAAATGCGCAAACCACATCCGGGAGCGGATGTCCCATCAGACCATAATCTTTTGTTGCGTCGGAAAAAGCTACACATGACGAAAGTGAGGAAAGACAAACCGCACGACTCAATGTTCAGAGGTTGAAAATAACAAGCACCGCAAGAGAAATCAAAGAGGAAGTAATCAACAAAATAGTCAGCATAGCAAAGTATAAAGAAACATCCATCGATGGTTGTTGATAAATGTTAGAACTAATGGAAGAGCGAAGAAATTATAGGAATAAAAATGAAAGGGGCTAAAAAACATTGAGAATAAAAAAATCTATTAACATTTTAGAAGAGACAAAACTATATAAAGAGTTGTGGCTCACAAAGCGAATGTAATGGAAACGAGTCCTTAGGACAGAAACATGACATTTTCGCTCTCATAAGGAAATCAAGGCTGTAGCAATTAACATTCAGCGAAGTAAAACATGCAATAGAACGATTAAAAGGCAACAACGCAGATGGACCCGATAATGTACAACCCTAAATACTAAAACTGTTTGAGGATAACCAACTTACACTCCTGACAAGTTTATGAAACTGGCCTGGAAAAGAGCCAGCAAACACACCTCGGTCCCTGAGATGTCATTATGTGTAGAATTAGTGTAGAATAGCTTTTTTCGAGCGCGCCAGTTTACTATTACTACATATATGTCCTGTTCATGATGTCCCTGGGAGCAAAAAATATAACGTTTCTGGGACGACTCGCATGGGACCTGCATGAGATATATGTGCGATACAAGGGACGTCCTAGGGACATCCTATCAAGGATCATCTCATGCGGGATAACGGGGATCAAAATAGAACGTCCCACGGACCATTTGTGTTTGCTGGGTCCTCTGGAGGTGTTTTAAATGAAGTCCCTAATTGAATTCTTCTCCACGTTCTAAAGAAAAAGCGTATAACACATCTCATGTTTAATTTTTCTGTTCTTAAATGTCTTTAAAATGGCACATTTAAGTGGTATTTAAATATTAATGATGACAGAATATGGAATTTTGGCCCCGAAGTACGATCATATCTTCATGAAACATTTCGTGAGAATCGGATTGATCGCAGAGGACAATTGAAGGACCAGTTCCGTCTCCCGATTTGACCCTACTTGACTTTTTTCTGTGTGGTCATATTAAAAACGCAGTTTACAAAAATAGGCCACAAAATATTGAAGAGTTGTAGGATAGAGTAAATAAGTCACGAAATTGCTGGTATTCCTTTGAATATACTTCTAAATTAATTTAAAAAATTTGTGCAGCAACTTTATTACTGTGAAGAGCTAAACACTTGAAAATAAAATGTCACTTTAATCCTGGGAATGAATAAAATTATGTTGTTTATAAGTTATGCCTCTTCTTCTTTCACCGTTCTTATTTGTTCAAAATGTAAAATATTAATTCTAAGAATTTAGCGAATTATAGTAAAAACAATTTCAACAACTCGATATCTTCAAATAGGTTATATTTGAGCATCTAATGTGTTAAACAATGTTTGTTTCAAATGTCGAAAGGACTTATTACTGCCTAACATACAGGGTGGGTGTTCCATTTAAGAAAAAGAAACTTATACTAAACTGTATACTAAATTTT